TACTGCCTTTTCGTTTTAGATGCGTTCAAACGCATGCCGGTCACGTCGCATTCGGCTGCGAACCTTTCTAAGGAGCACTGGAGATCAGTTTCACAAGATGCTAATAAAACAAGGCCGTCTGCAAACAGCAACCTTCCCCTCTCCACATCTAAAACACCGACAACTCTATCGATGTGCAACACGAATAGAAGAGGGGACAGAAGCAGCTTTGGCGGACACCAGTGCCAACGTTGAAAGGTTTCAATTTAATTCCATTTATTCTGAGCAGCATCTGCTGTCAGAATACGGGTACCTCTCGTGCCCACCAGGAAGATGTTTTCTGACTTCCAGGCTACAGACAAAGCCGTTTAAATCGGCAGCATTCGGCGGTAGCTTCGAGTATGCCGCTCTCGCATTGCAGCTACTCGGTTTCAACGTCAGTTGTCATCACCTGGATCTGTTGAAACCGTCGTTCGATTTGTTTGGAAATTTCGCTCTCGATAATAATGTTTCTCATTTGATTCTCCGGTTGCCTCTGCCACCAGATCTTCGCATGGTACTCCATTTTTCACATTGCAGCGTGCCAACAACAAGGTGATGATCGGTTGATAGTTATCAGCCTCTCTTTAGTCAGAAGATACGATTATTAAATCGATCATCGACTTCTGTGCACAAGCTTCCCGGTACCAGGTGTACTGATGCACTCTTCGATGTTCGAGGAAGGTGTTCATAATGAACAATCCGTTGTTTGCACAAAACCGCAACAACTTCATGCCGTTATTGTTGAGGTCGCTAGGGCCGTTTTTTCAATCACGCCGTTCCACTTTTCAACGTCTACTCCGACGTGCGAATTAAAATCGCCCATCAATATGAGGGATCTTTGCACAAAACCGCAACAACTTCATGCCGTTATTATTGAGGTCGCTAGGGCCGTTTTTCCCAATCACGCTACTTTTCAACGCCTACTCTGACATGCACATTAAAATCGGCCATGAGTATGAGAGACTCTGTATTAGGCACTTCCTCAAGGAAGGTGTCGTATTTTCCCACGAAAATGGACGCATACACCAATACCAAGGTCAACGCTTAGCCTGCTGTAGCTTCAGAGGGATAATTATCACCCTTCCGCTGACAGGCTTCCAGCCAATGATTCTCTCTGGGAGGTTTGCTTCTACCCAAACACCAACACCGGCCTGAGCGCAAGTCGTGATAGCGGCACCTGAATAGAAAAGCTTCCACCCGCTGAGGTTCAGGAGTCCAGAGCCTTGGCGCTTCAGTGACGATGGTCCAACAATGTCGAGTTCGTACTTTATAGCCTCATCAACTAACTCTTGTTGTTTCCCTTTGAGTGAGGATATCTTCCAATTTCCGATTGTATTCAGCCTCTGGTGGTGTCGTTCTCGTGAACCCTTTTCTGACGTGCTATAATGGCATTGCGCTATCTCCCTCCTCCCTTCAGAACAGGTAGCGACTACGCTGCTGACTGGTATCTTCGTCGTCGTTCATTCGAACTTCGTCAACCGTTGTTGTGCTGCTATCTTCGGTTGCAGAAGGCGATGAGCAGGTTCTGATCGCCGACTTTTCGTGGCCTGCCTCAGTCACTCAACTGTCTGTGCGGCCTTTGGTAACCCGAGTCGGCATAATTTTCGATTGTGACAATAACATGAGTGTCAGGTGGCTAAATTTTACGGGGACTTCCCTCGCACTCCAACCCTCCTCCTTTCTCAACCGGGCTTTTGACCGGCAACGGCTGAGTTCCTGTTGGTTTTCCATAAAGAAAAGTTGAAACAGCCTTGGGTGCATAACTTCAGAAAATTGGTCATAACGAACAAAAAGGATCAGGAAAATGCCGTTGAGACCGTTGCCCTATTTTATACATTTATCTGCATAGAAGTTCGTATTTTTCAGTTATACGGCCTATTCATTTAGTTTACTTCATTTTAAATAACTCGAACATTACCAGTCCCAAGTCTGGGTGAGAACGAAAGAGGGGGTTTGTATCTACAGTGAATTTCCCGTTCAATTAAACCATCTGCATCTCATCATACTGTAGCCTTCTTATGTGTCAACCTCATGAGACTTTTGTTGCAACTTGTGTCACCCCAGGATTTATTGCTGCTTCCCTCCAACTTCTTCGTAGGCAAGCTATGAAAGTTTTCCGAAGACCAGACGTTCCAGAAGAAGCGAATCGCAAATTGCTGTAGAAGCATCGGTCACAATTCTGCATTTTGATGCCATAATTTCCAACGATTGTCGCGCCATGCTACCGAAGGTCAATGAGCTCAAGGCGCTTCTCGCCATGCCACTGTTAAGCAACGGTTGTGGCATTTTCTTGGCTCTTTCCCACGTTCGGTGAGAATATCCTTGGTCTGGAAGACTTCATTTGTTACGGCCTTGATGTCCCCGGGAAAGATAAGTCGCGTAGCGGTGTTGGTATAATAACGTGGGCAACTTGACTTATTAGCAAAATGTTCAGAGGAGCTTAAGTTATGCTAAGAAGATCTATAGCGTTTTGCAGTGCAAGGCAAGCCATGCTGTCTCCGGAAAAGTCGACTGACTCATTTCCGTTGAAAACACTTGCCTGACTCTGTAACAGAGGCGTTGACGAGTTACGGTGCGTCCTAACCAGATGTTTGATAAACCCAAAAAAACTGTTCTAACCGATCCAACTCACCCGTTATACCGATGTTTCAAACCGTTTCATTCCAAGCAGTGAACAAGATTCGAGCTCAGGTAGAAGAAGGAAGGTTACTAAAAGTCAGTCGTTTCGTTCGCTGTGCGTTGTCTGATCGAATCCAAGAAAGAAGAGTATTTACTTTGGACTAAGACTCTGATCAGCCTCCTAGGGATCCATTTTTCGTTACTTGTTTTGTTGCTTTGTAGTTGGTTGTTGATTTGCTTGGTACATGTTTCTGCAACTTATCGTGTGCTTTAGGTTTAAATTAAATTAATTTTACTATACTGGATAAACAACGAGCATCGCAAACCAGAGACTATCTGTTTATGCAAACAGCTCAACTACGATCATACACACGCACTTCAGGGTGGCTAGTTTCTTACCTTTTCAAGGACATGAACTTCTGCAGTAACTCGTGCAACTAAAATAAAAGACAAGCTTATACTTACTTTTGCAACTGCATTTTGAACATACCTCTGTTTCCGGTTTATTTTTCAGATTGTTCCTGATGTCACAATAACATAGGGGAACATCCACCAACGAACCGTTTTCACTGAGGCAAGTTAGGTTTCCACTGTTTAGAAGAAGAGGGCATCGATCTGAAGGAAATTTCATGGTTCCAGCCGATCCTAACTTAGACTCTGAAATATCAGCGCAAAGTTTCCCTGGCGGGCTTTCGAGAAACGCATCTTCAATTACCTTTCAGTGTATCTCGATAGGATATAGCAATTTCAACCATAGTTTTGCCAATTAAGACGAATATATCCTAAAAGTTTATAGATGAGGATCAGAGATTGTATTATTCTTTGAGCCTGAGGATTTATAGTAAAGGGAAAGTGTATTATATGCCAAACATCAGTGATTTGCCTGTTGACCATGAAACTGATATAGTGAGGACATGTGCTTGGTAATAATATTGCTTGTTTTCTGGAATTATTGCAAATGCGACGACGAGCGCAATGGAAAAGAGTAAATAAGGACACATGGACAACTTTGCAAGATGGATGAAACAACGTTGATTTAATAGAGAAAGGCAGACGATGCGCAACAGGAATGAAACAGCAGGCAAAAGACGGATCTTTTAATCATCAAACCGAGATGCAGAAACTAATCTAAGATGACTGAATACTTTCCGTGTACTGATTCTTCAGTTAAAGTATTTAATACACTTTCAAATATACACTTTATTACCTTTTCAGGGGACCAATTTTCCCACAGCACGTCGATTATGTTGCCGCATGACGTCGATATTTCAAGAAGAGTATCGAATACCTCAAATACTCATTCATCAGTTAAACAAACTGATAAGCGCGCTAGATTTATTTTAAAAGTTTGCATCATAACGGCTGACGCCTTATGGGCACTGCTGCACTGATAGTGATAATGAGGACAATGAAGAGAACATGACAATTATGATTAATACTAGTTCGGGATACGTGCACAGTGCTAGGGTGCCGTTCTCCTGGTCACACAGGCCTACGATCCGTCCCGCAAGTCGAAGCTGAATAGAAGTTAGGAACAGGCATCGATGCTTATTAGATTGTTAGCATCGTATAGCCTACATTTCGTACCAGGTTTTAAATAAACCAGTATCTCTCGTCCAAAATTCATCAAATAAAACGCAAATTTTACTGCTTGAAAGGCCTTACTGATGAATAGAATTTTTCAGCATTTCAAAAGGAACCATTATGGACAAAAACGAAAATATTTGACATTCTATAATGTCAGAGAAAAATGGAAGAAGGTAATGGAATCATGTTTTCACGTAAACAATGAGCTACTCCTCTAAGACCGGATTTCATGACGTATTACGTCTCTTCTTTGCTTCTAGTTGCCTATGGGAAGGAAATGGAGGCATTCAAACATGTCCATGTAGCACTCTCAGCATGTACATGTTGTATATATGTCGTCCATGTAGCACCATTAGCACTTTCAGTGATCTTTACTTATCGAATCATTTCGTTCAGTATAGCTACCACACGCTCACTGCAAAGATGTTTCAGATCTGGTACTCTGTAACCAACAGTACGCCTACACTGTGTACTATTCTAAATACCGCATAACTTCTCTAAGACCAGATTTTGTAGCGTGTTGTACAGCGAGCAAAATTATGGGAGATGATTCTGGAAAGGCAGTTACTCAAATATCACTGAAAAGTGGGTGCCCTGCTAAAACGACAACCCCTCATCTCCAGGCAACTGCCAGAAATAGAGAGATTCCATGCGCCATAAAATCTGGTTTGGAGAAGTTGTGCGTTATTTAAGACACTCCGGCATAAAAATATGTTGATGTTTCGCGGTTTTGCATAATAAGAAGCAATAAAACAACAAACATACAACAAAAAACTGAACAAATAGCTCTAAAAGAACGCACAGTAACACAACAGAGTGAAAACGAAACAACATTATTCTGATTATCGCAAAACAGCGTTGATTAGTAGCCTGAGGCTTTTTGAAAGTGCCCACTAAGGAGGATATATGCTGTGTGTGGCAAAGCTTCGTCATTGAAGAATTGCAGATAAACCGAAATTGCATTGACGTACTATTTGAATAATCCCCTTGAAAGACTGTCGTACAGAGGATTCAAAGTTTTTCTCAGTCAAAGTCATGGAATGTTCGTTGGGAGCAGAATACGGATCTGCATGCATAACAAGTTTCAGGGGCGCACATTTTTCTCAGAAGCTACCGTAGTAGTGAAAGTTATCATTTTAGCCTCCAGAAACGACCGGCTAATTGCGCAGCTGTCATCGGTGCCAACGTAAACATTCATCCTTTGTAAGGCAATTTTACGGAAAAAGCAGTGCCGATACTCGTTTTCAAAGGTACACTGTGTATCTACGGGATTCATGACAGAATATAGATTTGGATTGACTGGCGATGACTAAAAGCTTTCGAAATATAATATAAGGCGGAATGATCCACTGAGGAAGGATCAAAATTTGTATGCGACCGACGACAGTAAAATATCTGCGCCTTAGTAACTCACTAACCTCTCTGAAGCAAGAAAACAAGAATAAGTTTAAAGTGACGATGACGTAAACAAGGAACGAAGGATTTTACCGTATTTTGATTTTCGTCATGATTATACTTGGTAGGCATAGTTAAGGTAAAACAAACAAAGTTCGATGCAAACATACAGAAATATTCGATGAATGTGGCCCATCAGTTACTTTTAATTATGATAACAGACATTTCTCACCGGATTGAAGACAAAAACATTCTTGTTCGCATCCACAACCACCGTCCTTGTTCCAGTGGTCTCGATTTGGGCCAATTGAATCGTCGTCGTATGCTTGTATTTGCTCAGCCGTTTCATATTGACCATCGACACAAATATAATGCTGTTATTCTAGAAGAATGAGGTTCTGAAATCACATAATGGTGACTACCGTTAAACGTATGTGAAGGTGATATCAGTTTCTTAACGCAATTATATGCTAACAAATTTAAACGATGTTTTTTGGATTTTTCCTTTTTTTGTGGAAATCAACGGAATTCAATTGGTGAACGGCGTTAGCCATGGTCAATTCGTAGCTTCGAAAACAGTTTAAAAAACTTTTATTCACCTTTCTATCCGATCATTTTAGTATGCAGGCATCTGTGATTCATTGAAGCCTCCATTCTTGGGAAACTTTCGTGGAACGAAGCAAAACACAGAT